AGTTGAAGTAATCCAAGTTCCAGGTGATACAGACCTTCACAGACCTCCATAAATGTACTTTTGAGCTTATTTTTTATTCAAGTTTTTACTTCAAATTTGGTAATTTGTAGCCACCATTTTAGTTTTGGCGGCCATTTTGTATATTGTTGAGGCTATCTGCATTTGATTTATTTGGAGAGAAGTGGCACAACATCCCTTTATGCATTTTGTACCATTTTAACAAGCTTTTGTTGAAACCACCTGGAGCAAATTTGCACTTACTAACTGTAGGTCTCTGTGCTGGCGGCCATTTTGGATTTTCCCAAAAAAATACCTGTTCCACTACTTGGATTTTTCTAGATTTTTAATATGATCATATGGACCACTCAGAGACTAAAAAAACATACTACAATTTTTTTTGCAATTAGTCCTGGGTTAAAGCATTTTTTTCTTAGACTAACTGGGGCTGGGTGTAAAAAGAAAAAAAAATACTTAAATTAACAAACAAACAAACAAACATATAATTCCTGTTGTACCGTATGTTGATGTCCTGGTAAAAGCAAACCTTGTCACTGGAGAAAAGCTACGAATAGTATTATGCACACATTTCGTCGAGACAAAAAAAAAAAACGAAAATGACTAGCTGAAATAACTTTTAAGCACCAGAACATACAGAAAGACATAACCAATCCAAATAAAATACCAAAATACAAACACGCGCGTTTCCGAGACACTTTTTTCCTACTACTTAAATAAATTGCGATGTATGTGTTTTGTTTCGAACTCAATTCGATCTTCATGCTAATCTTTATTTTTATGTAAATTTTTTTTTTTTTTTTTTTTTTTTTTTTTTTTTGAAAAAAAATAACAGTGAGATCTTTACCTCTTAATTATATTCATAGTTCAAAACCGGCCTAGTTTGAACTTTACGATTTACAAATGCTGGCCTGCTACCCATGATTTAAATTTTTTGACTCAGTTTGTGCTAAAACGCAATTTTACCATTGTCAGCGATTGGAATACTAGCAGAGACTACAGCTTAAGATTTAAACTTGTGGTTTTCATCATCTGCTAAATTAGACCATAGCTTGATGTTCATATCAGGTATGCATATCTTACAGGTAAATAATAAATGCTCAATGTAACAGCTTAGCCTCACCTATGAGGGGCATCGGCAACTTCCCAACTTCGTGGGAAACCGACAACTGTCCCTAGAAGATTTCCACTCCTGTCATATCGCCATTAAAGGAAAACCAAAACAATAACAGAATAGAATGGTGGATATAGGTAAGAAGTGAGAAGATTTTACAGGATATGGCATATAAAAAAACGTAAATAGGAGTTCAAATGCATTGATTTTCGAGTTTCCTTAGTCACGTGAGAGTTATTCAACACGCATACAGGTACATACACTACTGAAAATTACACTCATCGCTAAACCTGAAATAATTTTGAAATTACGTAAATTATTTCAATTTGATTGAAATGGTTCAATGAGGCCTGGGCACCTAGCCTGGCAAATTTAGGTCTATAAGTGCAACAAGTTAGACTGATCACTCTTTTAACTACGGTAGATTTGATGAAATTGGGGAAACGGCAAAATTGGGACTTCTAAAGCGGGAGGTCGGTGTCTGCCTTCGCAGCTGGTGTTAAAGGCCCCAACTATATGCTCATGTACCCTCTATCAGGGCAACAGATTGATTTTTATCACATATCCACAGATATATGGCTCTTTAATAGATGGCTAAGCTCGGTACTGTAACGCCCCAGCAAAAATGTTCACAAAAGAATAACTGCGGCCCTGGTAGAGGGTAGTGCTCATAGGCACTTCCTCTCAGGGCGCTTACAGCGAAGTTAAAGGGATAACAACTCTTCGTATAAGATCTATATTTCATAATAAAAACATTGTAAACAATTAATATAAATATGATATTTTCTATTTTACCACAAACGCGTAGTTGTAGCAAATATTCTGAAATCTGTGCTCGTCTTCGGACCATGTGACCTCCATAGATGGCTATACAGAGTAAATAAAAAAAACTTTTTAGAAAAAAAAAAGGGACTAACTCTGATTGTAAATGAATTCATTAACCATTTGTAAGTATGGGGAAATTGTCATTTACCCTAGTAAAATTCTTTTTTTTTTTTGCCAAATTGAACAGTTGTTATCCTTTTAATTGACCCGACCAACGTGTTCTACTGTGGACTTACTTTGGAGATATTTGTACTTATTCCGCAAAATTATAGTGGAAACGAAAAGAGAAAATCACGAAGTTTCATGTAGATGTCAATTTTTGGGTTCCACAGTTAATAAAACCGTTATCATCTTAACCTGATATGCGAAACTTGATAAAATAAAGGATTTAAGAAACAAAAATGCAGAACAAGTTTGATTACCTCCGCCAAGGAGGTTATGTTTTCACCCCTGTCTGTCTGTTTGTTTGTCATCAACATAACTCAAGAAGTGATGGACCGATTCTGATGAAATTTTCAGGTTAGGTGGGAAATGGATTAACTAAGAAGTGATAAGCTTTTGGTGGTGTTCCCGATCAATAATCAATCAATAATCAATAATAATAAAAAATCGCTGCCTTGGCGGAGGTCTGCGCTCTCGGAGTGCTTTTCTGGTTTTATTAAAGAAATCCATCGCTGTAGCACCGAGAATCAAGGTCTATCGCTCCATGAAACAGACTTGACAAACAATTCCAGCACTGAAAATAAGAACGCTATTACTACAGCCTACTTTGAACATAGAATAATGTAAAAATAATGCAAATTGGTAATGTTTGTTATTATTATAAAGATAAAGATTGAACATTGTCGAGTCATAAGGTTGACTTTCGGTTCAGTTCCGAAGGTATGACATGAATAGGTAAGGTAGGTAGATAACAGGGGCGAATTGAGTCCGTCTTCTGTGTTTTTCAAGTTTACATGTCAGATGGTAATTTGGAAGACTGTCAGAAAATATCTCTGGATCCGCCCCTGGATAAACAAACCTCCTTTGAAGAAACCTTGGCAAAGGCCAATAATTGAGTGTGTACAAAGTCTAAAAGGCAAAATAGTGAGTGGAGCGAGACGGCATTTTAAAAATACTTCCATGTGCCCTAAGTAAGAATGAAAACGATAGAAGACGGTCCTTTCGTAAATCTGTTAAAAATAGATACAGTGTATATGGCTTCCTGTTTTCAAACCAATATACTTGGTTATCAACTATTACATTCAATTTAGTGTTCAGATCACGTGGAAAGCAATCAAGATGCCAATTATATTATACAGTGTAACTACTGCCTTAATATGCATCTTTAAAGATAATGGATGCCGTTTTCCACGCATGTAAGTTTATTGTTTGCGCTGTGCGTCTTCATTCTAACGTCTAACAGCGCACACGTTATAGATGCGTGGTGCAAAAGCGTCAGCGTAGAAACCTTCCACTCCATCGGGTGGTTTCTCGCCCTCTGGAACCTTAAAGGTAAAATTCTGAAGCAACGTGGTCAGGAAAATGAATAATTCCATTTCAGCCAGTCCCTTTCCCAGGCAAACACGGGGTCCTAAAATAAATAAATAAATAAATAAATAAATAAATAAATACAAAAAAAGATTTAATACAGTAAAACCATATAGGCATTTCGTACTTTAAAGTTAACTTTTTTACACTAGTTTTACTTGGTTTAGGTAGACAAGATGCATGCTTCGTCTGAAATGGGACGCATTTATTTCAGGAAAGACACCGGATCTTAGGGAGTATTTCGACCCACTGTAGCCCCGCAACCGGGGATGAATTGCTCGTCGTCTTTTATACAACTATAAATGTGCACTTTATCAGTACATCTGCACAATTCTTGAGTGATTTTAACATCGTTGCTGATGTGCTGTATACTATGTCTAACGTAAAGCAACGCACCGATGGAAAACGGTATCATTTTGTCCGACTTGGTCACTTTACCATCGCCATCCAGCCATCTTTCTGGTTTGAACTTGTAAGGATCCTGGAAGTTATTTTCATCGTGAAGAATACGGTAGAAATCTGCCACTATCATGGTGTCCTTGGGAATGGTGTATCCCGCCAAAATTGTAGTTTCACTGGTGGCATGGGGAACTCCAAGGGGGGGCTGATAGCATGGAAGAAAATAGATTTTTTATCTTAAACAGACAAATAATGGATCTTTTACAGGAGAAACACCTGGAAAATTTTCTTTTGTCACAAAGGCATCAGACGCACTCGGCTCATAGTGTATCCTTAAATGTCTAAATTAGGCCAATAACTCTACTTGTCCAACAATATTACGAACACGTTTGTTTGTAATACACTGTCTGTGTAATGAACATTTTTTTTTTATTATTTAGGCAAAATTTACTGACCAACTGGGGACATACGAAAGACCTCCAATACGGTCGCTTCCGTGAATGGCATCCTGGCCTTGTCCTCCATGTTGGCAACACGACCTTGACCTATGACCTTAAAGTAAATTAAACATATTTATCAAAAATCACTATACTTTTGCTGGTATCATGATTTATTGCTTGGATAGAATTTTCTCAGATGGATAATATAATAGGAAGCCAACTCCTCTACTGGTAATCTTTACGTTGTTACCTGATCAATTTCCTGCTGCACCCTCTTCTGAACGTCCGGATGATTTACCATATGAACCAGGGACCATCTCAAAGTGTTAGCAGTGGTTTCCGTGCCAGCCAAATATAGATCAACAATGATGCGGAATACGTTCCATTCTGAAATTTATATCAAATGAATATTTTAAGGAGGTCGGGGTGGGTGTACGTGAACTCTTACTCACGACCAAATTAACTAAACCACGTGCTCGCATGTGTATGTCTGATTGCACTCGTGTATTTATATACACACTTTAGGTAGGTATATAGGCCTACACACTTAAGGTATGTATATAGGCCTACACACTTTAGGTAGGTATATAGGGCCNATAATAGGAAGCAAACTCCTCTACTGGTAATCTTGCTCTCTGGCTATCATTTTCCCGTCGTTACGTTGTTTACGTTGTTACCTGATCAATTTCCTGCTGCACCCTCTTCTGAACGTCCGGATGATTTACCATATGAACCAGGGACCATCTCAAAGTGTTAGCAGTGGTTTCCGTGCCAGCCAAATATAGATCAACAATGATGCGGAATACGTTCCATTCTGAAATTTATATCAAATGAATATTTTAAGGAGGTCGGGGTGGGTGTACGTGAACTCTTACTCACGACCAAATTAACTAAACCACGTGCTCGCATGTGTATGTCTGATTGCACTCGTGTATTTATATACACACTTTAGGTAGGTATATAGGCCTACACACTTTAGGTATGTATATAGGCCTACACACTTTAGGTAGGTATATACTCATTTTAGGTAGATCGGTCGCTGATGATTGAAACTTTTCTATTTGTTGATCGGGTGATATGGACTAAGTGTTTTAAAAATCGTCTCGTAAATAAATCAAAACAAGTGAGGGTTAGATCTCCAGGTTCTTTGACAGTCACATGCCTGTGTAGACCTCGGGATCATGTCCATCCTGGGTGACCTTTATGTAGAGGTCAATGAAGTCCCGGATGTCATTTGGATCGAAGGACTGGCGGTGTCGATCGACTTCTTGTCGTACCAAACTATAAAACTTGTCACAAAGAGCCAATATCTTTTTAACCTGAAAGAGATTTATCTATATTAATCTGTGTAAAGCAAAATTCACTATATTTTCTGATACAATTTTTTATATAATTACAATGCTCAAATCGCTAATAGAAGTTGAAAGTGAATAACTTGTAACGACAAAATATAATATTGTTTAATAACATATAAAATTTAATTTAAAACCTTCACAAAGATAAATGTAACAAATCATTCAATTTTTACCGGTAAAAAGAAACGCGCCAAGTCAGTCAGGGTCAGTGATCCCTGGCCAATTTTTAAAGATTGTTCTAAAACTGACAGCATTTCTGGGGTTTCATTATAGTCATATCTGGAATTATTTTAAGCAAAAGGTCACTTTTCAAATATTAAGTTTAACTGAATTGTAGCTATTTGAATTATCAAGATAATATACACTGAGTTAATGAGACATTTCAACACGGTGGAGTAATTTAAAAAAATTAAAGTACATAACTGCTCGGTGTTTCAGATTTAAAGTACTTTGGAATGCCTTCTGTAAAAAAATCTATATCAATGTTATGCTTACCTTTACCAACGACTAGCTTTCAGCCCTAGATTTTGCCTCTAGTTTATCATTTTTTTTTTTTTTTTTTTTTTTTTTTGTTAAATCAAATCCACTCGTATGAGTTCATATACAATGAAAGGTAAATAATCGCTTTATTCATAAATTACACATATTTACTATACCCTAAATGACGACTGGACTAATAAGGATATGTAGAAAGCTTTCCGCTTACCTAGCTCCAAACACAATGGTTGAAATAATGTTGCTGACAGCGTGCCCAACCCTTTCTTTTGGAGAGAAAGTTTTTCCATTTTCATCTTCAATGTTTTGCACCAAGTATCTTGCCTCATCCTGAATTCTCTCTTGTAAACTTTTTCTCCCGAGGCCGAGATCTCGAAGAGACGAGAGCGTGAATCTCCTCAGTTCTTTCCATTTGTGCCCGGATTTAAAGATAACTCCAGACCCTGCAGTTAACATATCATTTTGTTATTACTAAATATTTTTACATGTTATCTAATAGAATACACATATACAAATGCACAACATGTAAAGTAGAGTTCAGCTGCTTTTACAATTCACACCGACCAAGACATATCTTTTTACAATACGTTTCTTCAGAAAGTGACTAATTTCATTACTCAGTCAGAGTCATGAACTAAACACATAACGGGATATTGCAAGATCCGCATAATTTAACTTTATATAATATTCTAAATCAGGGCATCGCAAAGATGGCAACCAATGCCCATTCGTAAGTATTCACTTCCCTTCAGTGGACCTTTAAAATTGACAGGATCCCCATTCTCCTCTCAACCCCGCCCAACCGTACTTGACCATAACGCCAAGTCGCAATTAAGGCTAAATTTGCACCGTGGAATGACCCCCATTACACTAGTACAGCCACAATAAAATACGCAGTACTCGGTGTTTATAATGGAATGTAAATAATAAGGCAATGTTTCAGTCGTTACTTTCTCTGTCAAATCTGAGTTGACATAACCTACTTCTGCTTACAAGATATCAGGTCATGGGTCACGAGGCTCGAGTACAAGTGTACTGTACTTGTTAGCAGGGGGCACAACGGGCACCTGCCTTTCCCTTAATTATAGCTTCTCAAGCATGTCTTGACCCTCTTTAAAAAGTAAAACTAGCAAAGCGAGACAGTAATGTACCATCCCCGTGCTAAACATATTATATACCAAAGGTAACCTTGTCTGCTGTTTGATTTTTTTTTTATTTCGGTGACCCCGATCCCCTCACCCGTGCATCACTACCAAAATCTTTGCTCCGCAGTTGTGAATACTTTGTATGTGCCTATATGTTGGGAAAGTGTCCATACATATATAATACCCAGGGGCGGATTTAGGCCGTCTTCTGGGTCTTCCGGAAGACGGTCATATTTTCAAGTTTACATTGACAGGTATCTAATTTTTTCTGTCGGAAAACGGTCAAAAAATGGAGGATGGACCAACAAATATAATATGGAAGACTGTCAGAAAATATTTCTGGATCCGCCCCTGATGCCATTCAGAGATGATGAAATCAGTAAATTACCGTCCTTTCCGACTATGTGCTTTACAAGATATATCCATGTAGGTCTAGCACTGACTGTGGCTGCATTCTTCACGAAAGCCTCTTGGATCAGCTCATAAGTCCCCAGCATTATCATGTGTTGTTCGCCAAGTTTGACGTGCATGATATCTCCGTACGTATCATACCATGGAAGAAAATCTGTCGGTTGTCTTCTCCTACCGCTGATCATCATCTGTGGGAGACATCCCACCACGGGGAAACAGACAGGTCCGGGCGGCCAGTTCACCCGAGGATTCCTCGACGACAGCATCCACAGACTTGACAACAGCACTACCACGAATATCAAAACAGTCGGCAGACCGACATTGGAAAACAACTCGAAGACATTCTCCACGACGTTGGCCATTTGGGCTCCGTGGTATCGACTGGGAAGTTCTTGACGGTGGCGTAAGATCACCTTCTATCACAATATGTACCACGTCTACCAGTACAATGTAAATACAAGTATTGCAGAAGCGATATACTGCTCACACTTCATACCAGTACGGTCACCTCTGGGCAAGGTCAAATTTGTCACGTGCTGCAAGGCATTGCTCCATGTGAAATACACGTTTTCTTTTATTATTGCAACACGCCATGAAAGGGGCGCTTTTAAAATGAAACGCAAATTTACAGTAGCATTTCTTTTCGGTCTTTTTTCTTATTTTTTATTTATTTATTTATTTTATTTATTTTATTTATTTTTATTTTTATTATTTTTTTTGGCTTCAACGTGGGATAAATTGCCCATTTTTTATTTCAAAAAAGAGTGGTCGCCTGCACCTCTATTGCTTCACATGATTACTTCCTATTTGTTGAAAGGAATAATATAGGAACGAATTTTCCCAAGCCGGTGCATATACGTACTGTACGTGTATAATCATTCAACCAGAGACCAGGTCAAATATTTTGTTTTCAAAAGGAAGGGGTCGCCTGAACCTGTACCCCTCTATTGTGACGTTTCATATGGTACGGTTTTGTTGAAAGGCTCGAATAATACGTGCCGGAACGAAGTTTTCCAAGCACGTTTATTGGTAGTGCATATACTTACATGGATAAGCATTCAACCAAAGACCACCGTCAAATATATCAACCCGTATTATCCAAAAACTCAGTCGATGAATTTATATATAAGCTGACATGCGACCATTATAATTTATGTACAAACATTAGTACAGGTATAACGCAGCTATTGGAGGGGACCATATTTACCTGTCACCAGGCAAAGCAGACTGGACCTTCCTACTGGTCCTACAGTTGTATCCCATCAGGATAATAATGCTGGGGAAATTTCAGGCCTCAGTTAATTACCTTTTTAATACATGTAGTATGCGTTGGTATTTTTTCCATGAGGTTTAATTACAGCGTATTTGAAGGACCGACCACTCCCCTCTCTTAAAAATGTGCATTTCATTATAATAATAATAATAATAAATTTTATTATTATAAAATTATGTATATTAATTTTAATTTTAAAACACATTTTAAAGAACTTCGTTTAAGTGCAATTTAATATCGTAGTTGATAAAAAGGCATTTCAAAAAAAGTCGATTGTGCTCAGGGAATAATTTGTCTTTGAGAATCTAAGTTTATAATCCCGGCACATCAATTTCCTGTACATAGCGTATAAAATTTTTCCCCGTTTTGGTAAAAGTCAGTGGGCTTTGTGGTCACTAATATAAACGCTTCTCACTAACTAACCAATATACACTGTACATATTTTGTGATCACTTATGCACCACCATTGCACCAGTACACGGGATGTCTCTATGTGAGCCGAGGCATTCTCCTGACCATGTACATGACATTGCAAATTCTAGTAGAAGTCTAAGCGATGGCAGAGTCGAGCTGTGAAGGGACCTTACTTTGAGACGTACAGCAAATCTGTCAACGGTTTTCCTCCTGACATGTGGTGCAGCCAAACATCAGCATTTATACATGTATGCTCACCGAACTGACCATTGATATACTAGTATAGTATATTGACCGATTAAAACGTTTCTGATGTTATAAGGTCTGGGGAAACATAGGAATATGAATGAATCTCTCACAAAATCATATATACAAGTAATTGGTTTTTTTACTATTCCGTTTATTAAATAACCCCGACAATCTAAATTTTGATTATTTATGACTAAACGTTGAAGTTTTCTTAAATTTACTTTTTGTTGTGCTCCATGACAATAAAAAAAGAGATTATATATTTATCAAATAAGAAAGCTAACAAAGACCCAGGATACCAGGCAGGAATAAAATTATCATTAAAGCTAAGCAAACCACAGTTCTCACTCTTGTACACCTTTGAAAACTGGTATATAACTCTTAGGCCCCATTCCCAGAGATTAGATCGATCCAAACTAGATCGACCTAACTCCCTGGGAGTTCACGCTAAATAGCTGTCAGCCGAGCGGGCACGAAAGTTAATTACCCCCTTACAGCTTGTAGTAGGCAGGACGGACATTTAAGCCGGATTATCTGACAGTAATCTAGTGAGACTCCCCACGGGGATAGATCGTTCTAAAATCTATGGGAATACGCCCTTAAACGTGAACATACCTGTATCTTATGTAATGTTGTGGTCCTTTTTTGCAAGGGCAGTATCTGAAAACATGTCAATGCAAAAACCGAAAGTGTATAACCACAGCGAGAAACCGCTTCGAATAATATGATCATTACAACGGCTCGAAAATCACTACAGAGTATGTGCGGAATATACAGTATGACCTCCTGATTGAAACTCCTGGTATAAATGTCACTTTGTTATATACGATAACGTTCAATTCAGTACTCATGACATGGGGGAAGAATTCGAGGCTTATGATTTTACGAAAGTACTCGCTTAATAAGACAACAGATTTGTTTTGCACGTATATATAGGTTAATTGTTTGCACAGTGTGTCTTCGTTCTAACGTCTCACTGCGCACACGTTGTAGGGGTACGGCGTGAACGTGTCCCCACTGAAGCCCTCCACTCCATCGGGTGGTTTCTCGCTCTCTGGTACCTTGAAGGTAAAATTCTGAAGCAACGTGGTAAAGAAAATGAACAATTCCATTTCAGCCAGTCCCCTACCCAAGCAAGCTCGTGGTCCTGAAAAATTATTTAAAAATAAATAGAAATATTATACTATAAGCTGAATTTTGTAAGCACAAGGTTGACCATCAGAGCTATACTCACACATTTTGCATATAGACAATTTTGGGTGATTTCCAAGAAATGATGTACCTTAGGAGTGTAACGTACCGATGGAAAACGCTATCATTTTGTCCGACTTGATCACTTTACCATCAGCATCCAGCCATTTTTCTGGCTTAAACTTGTAAGGATCTTGGAAGTTATTCTTATCGTGAAGAACCCGGTACAAGTCTCCCAGTATCACGGTGCCCTTGGGAATGGTGTATCCTGCCAATTTTGTAGTTTCACTAGTGGCATGGGGAACACCAAGGGGAACTAATGGCAGGGTTAAAATAAACATTTTATCTTTTACAAACAAATTATGGATCTTTATAGGATAAATATATTATCCTTAATTTCTGAATTATACAAGAAAGCCTTACTTTTCAAACAAGATAATGCGATCAAACAAACACTTATCCTCCTGCATAAGTTAAGGAATGAATTAGAAGTGGTTTGGATTCAGTTGAAATGGCAATATTTACTGACCAACGGGAGACATACGAAGGGCCTCCAAGATGGTTGCTTCAGTGAACGGCATCCTGGCCTTGTCCTCCATCTTGGCGACGCGATCTTGACCTATGACCTTAAATAAAGCACATTTATAAAACAGTTAGTATAATTTCAACAAAGACAGCGGTTATCTTGAAATAAAATGTACTGCTAGCATACTCATACATGTATAAACATAATTTGCCCAGAAATAAAGTAAAATAGAAAGCCAACTCCTTCAGTAATCTCTCTCACACTCGCACACCACACACACAAACGAGCGCTCGCGCACAGACACGCACACTGTTTCTTGTGCTCATTTTTACGTCGTTACCTGATCAATTTCCTGCTGCACCTTCTTCTGAACGTCCGAATTATTTACCATATGCACTAGGGACCATCTCAAAGTATTAGTAGTGGTTTCCGTTCCAGCGAAAAATAAATCAACAATAATGCGAAATACGTTCCATTCTGAAATTTATATCAATTGAAATTTTCACCTTTTTAGAGGGTAGGGTGTGGGTAGTGCACATGAACGTTTTCTCATACATGTATGTTCTCATGTATGTGTGTTCACATACATACATTTATAGTCGATGATCATATTGATTATTACCTTAAAGTCCACCGGGCGATATACAGACCAGGTGTTTTAATAATTATTTTGTAAATCACAACAAGTGAGGGTTAGATTTCGATGTTAACAGATTCTCTAACAGTCACGTACCTGTGTAAATCTCTGAGTCTTGTCCCTCTTGGGTGACCTTTATGAAGAGGTCAATGAAGTCCCGGATGTCTGTTTGATCGAAAGACTGGCGGTGTCGTTCGACTTCTCGGTGTATCAAACTATACAGCTTGTTCGAGAAGGCCAATTTCTCCTTTACCTGATAAAAGTAACCTATAGCTAAATCTGGTGTGATATATATTTATGTATAATCTTAATTAATACAGATTTTTATATGAATACAATGACAAAATCACAAATGAAACAACCTGATATACTATTAGAGAAAGTAACTTGCACTGACAAAGTATTACACGATGAATGAATAGGAAATTCATATACATATATATTTTCTTCAAATTAGGAACCTTGACAAAGCTACATGTAGCAAACCATGTATCACTTTTTACCGGTAAAAAGAAACGCGCCAAGTTAGTAAGGGTCAGTGGTCCCTTGCCAATTCTCAAATTTTGTTCCAAAACCGACATCATTTCCTGAGTGTCATTACAGTCATATCTGGAAGAGTTTTGAGCGATATGTCACTTTTTTAGATACAAGGTTGAAGTGAATTGTAGCTTTTAAAACAATCAAGATAATACAGTATAAAGTTATAAAGACACAGTTGAGTCAAATGAATTTTTTTAATAAAAATACACAAAAAATTGCCTCATTCTTCCTAGAGAGCTTGGTGGAGTTGGTTCAGATTATTAGGGGTTGTTGGGTAGTTTTAGAAAATGTGCATTAAAAAAACGTGTATGTGTGCATGTAAATGAAGAGCTTAGCTGGAATGACTACACTTGAAAAAGAATTTATCTAAATTGAAACTTCAAGTAATGGAAACAAGATTTTCTTATAATACGCACATACTGTAGGCCTACTACTTCATTTAGATTAATGATCCATTATATGTAGTAGATGCGCAAAGCTAGAAGACATACGCAAATTTAAAAAACGTGGCGCAAGCATCATTCTCGATATCCAACAAAAAGAAGCCAAGAACCACCCATCAATTGAACAATTTAAGAAACTGAATTGGTAAAAACCCTTTATGAACGAAAAGGATGGAAGGTAGAAACATAGCTGTTTTTACTTCAAGGTCACTAAACGGACTTTCACTTCACAATATGTTAGGGATATATTGGGTACCAGAGCCATAACCATAGCAGGCACCAGTGGAATCACTAGATCAAGTAACAGGGGAAATCTCTTTAAGCTGACTTGTAGAACACAAAGCTATCCTCACTTAGGAACCAATATGGACTTTGATTAACATGTGGAAGTGTCTAACTCTGAAATCAAACACTCCAAAGATTTGGGCACTTTAAAAATTTTGAATGAAAGAAAATCAAAAGTAAATTATATGTATATACCTATGTAGCTTTTAGGTTTTTATTAAGATAATACTGTTTAATATTATTCAAGTTTACCTCATTATTATTTTTATTTTATTTACTGATCTACTTTTACTTTTTATTTATCTTTACTTATATTTTTATTTTATCTTCAATAATGCCTGGACAAAAGAAAGGTATGCCCTCACCTAGCTCCAAACACAGTGGTACATATAATGTTTCTGACAGCTTTTCCAATCCTGTCTCTGGGAGAGAAAGTTTTTCCATTTTCATTTTCAATCTTTTGAACCAAGTATCGTGCCTCATCCTGAATTCTTTCTTGTAAAGTTTTTCTCCCGAGGCCGAGATCTCGAAGAGACGAGAGTGTGAATCTCCTCAGTTCTTTCCATTCGTGCCCGGATTTAAATATAACTCCAGCCCCTGTAGTTAACATATCATTAAGTTATTCATATATATTTGTACACGTAACCTAATATTATATTTATACCAATACTCACGTGTACAGTAGAGTACAATTATCCTTACAATTTACATCGATCAACATACCAAAATACCAAAAGCATCCATGCATGGGTAGCTAATAGATGGTTTCAAAAATTAAGATAGCCCATAAGTCTGATAGAGAAATATGAAACAGTCGTTGATATATCTTTTGTACAATGTATTTTCTTCAAATTACGGAATAATTTCATTACTCAGAATTTTGAACAAACAAATATTAAAGTTTCATTATGGTTTGGGTACCTGCCTTTAGCTTTTCAGGCATTCCTTGGCTCTATATAAAGTACAGTCCCCTAGCAAAACACGTCAACGTTCTAATGCCATGCGTAAAGTGATGCAGATATCATGTCATGAACCAACGTTCTTTTTTCAATTTGTAAAAGAATAGTTTTCACAACAATGAATTACCTAACCATAGTAAAAAAAAATCAAAAGCCCCACTTGCGTATTTTGTACAGTGTCCTCTACATTTGAGGACGCACCTGACGTTATGTTATGCTATTCACAACCCGAAATTTCACGATGATCGGTTGACTAGTTGTTATGTAGTAGTAAAATAAAATCTATGGGTACGCTTGTAACAATATATATATATATATATATATATATATATATATATATATATATATATATATATATATACGTGGTAGAGGAGAATTTTTTGCTATAGGGGATTGAAGAACCAGTAAAGCAAGACAGTAATTTCACGTCCCTGTGCCCTACATATTATATACGAACAGCGACCTTGACTCCTGTTTAATACTTTTTAACCCTCTTGAGCACGCCTCCCCCAAAATCTTTGCTCTGCTATTGTGCGCATTTTATATGCGCCTATTTGTTAGCATAGATAATACTATTTGGAAATTTTCAAATCACTGCATTACCGTCCTTCCCGACTATATGTCTTAAAATATATATCCAAGTAGGTCTAGCGCTGACTGTGGCTGCATTCTTCACGAAAGCCTCTTGGATCAGCTCATAAGTCCCCAGCATTATCATGTGTTGTTCACCAAGTTTGACGTGCATGATATCTCCGTATGTATCATACCATGGAAGAAGATCCGTAGGTTGTCTTCTCCGTCCGCAGATCATCATCTGTGGGAGACATCCCACTACGGGGAAACAGACAGGTCCGGGCGGCCAGTTCACCCGAGGATTCCTCGACGACAGCATCCACAGACTTAACAGCAACACTGCTACGAATATCAAAACAGTCGGCAGACCGACAGAAGAAAAAAATTCGAAGAGACTCTGTACGACGTTGGCCATTTGGACTCCGTGATATTCAGGGTATCGTCTGGTACCTGCTCGAAGGGGACCTCAAATCACAACCGCAGATATCCACCTGATCTACTAGTACGATGAGAATACTTGTATTGCAAAAGCAATTTACTGCACACACGCCATATTCAAGTCCCCTTTCCATAATTCACGCAGCATAATTTAATGCAAGGCATTTCTACCTCTTTGTGTGCATGAAATGCACGTTTGATTTTTTATTGTTGCAACATACTTATAGGGGCGCTTTTGAAATGAAAACGTGAAAGAAAGACAGAATGGAAATTATATGTGTAGATGTCGTGCCTTAAAAAACAACTTGAATAAATTGAATAACCGTTATTCCTGTTCTTAACACCGTGAGCAACGTAAAAACCTTGATTTCCAATTTGTATACTGTGTGCATTTGGTTGCACACTAATAAACCTGTAAAATATATTGAAAGTTCTAGGCTTTTTTAATCCAACAAAAAGGCCTTTTGCACTGACCAAACCGCCCACTGGCTCCCGAGACTAGAGCGAGAGCGTGAGGAATAGTGTGTGTGTGTGTGTGTGCGTGTGTGTGTGCGTGCGTGCGTGCGTGCAGTTGTGGATTTAAGAGGAGTGTCAGGGGGTCTAATCCCCCCTTTCGATTTCTGAAAAATTCACACCAATGGGATCCCCTCCTGAAATTAGATTTTTGACTAGCTGATTAATAGTTGTAAACTGTACCAAATGACACCGTTCACCCTCCAAAATAACAGTATACCCTACAGTGGGCCCCGAACCCCTCTCCAAAAGGGGGGGGGGGGCATCTTATCCGCCCACATCCACTTGAAATATTCCTAGATCCGGCCCTGGGTCGTTTCTCAATATTTATCTGTTTTTTTTTTTTTTTCTTGTTTTTTTTTGTTTTTGTTTGTTTGTTTTTTTTATTTTTATTTTTTTTTCGCAACTTAAAATGGATGTGCACAGTGACTATTAATTGCTACAAACCTAAAACGAAGTTAAAATCAAAAATCAATTTAAAATGATATTTTCAGGAATTTGGTTAAAGTTGAAATTAGACAGGATAGTTAATAACATGATTAAATTACACAAAAGTTGGCTGTGCTCAAAGGAAATTTTAAGTTTTTGAGAATCCCAATTTTCAGTTAATAATAAAATATATTTATTTCTTTAAACTGCGCTGCATATGCGTCCCAGCACTATTGAATCAGTATGTAAACTAAAACTCAAATTGACACCAAAATGATTGACAATAGCCAGAGTGTCTACAAATCTACAGTGTAAAAAGGAATTAAATTTCGGCCCATTAAACGTCTGTAGCGTATAAAATTGTTCACCGTTTTGGTAAACGTAATTTTTTTTTTTTTTTTTGGAACACTGATGTACATGCTTCATGGTCTCTATTGCAGATACTTCATGATCACTATAATCCAGCCGTTCTATAATATTTTTGACACAACACATCGTGCTGACTTTATACAAATATTACATTCTGATTTTATCCGAGTTCGTCCTGAAACAAAATCGCACGAAAAAAATCTTCTTAAAAATGTGCTACTGTTATGTACTACCACACCTAAGCAAAAATGCAACCAAAATAATAATAATAATAATAACCACAATGAGTTTTTCCTATTGATGAAAACTCAAATCATTTACATATGCTGTTCTACACGCACGACATGGTGTCGTTAGGGATCGAACGTCACAATCTACATGTAGCTATTGTTTAACAGTGCACACCTTGTATGTGCATGCATATTGGGTGTAAGTGGTCACGTTCAAACCTTCAACTCCATCGGGTGGCTTTTATTATAGCAGAATTAAAGGGGCTTTTTTAAAATGAGAGTCATAGAAAGACACAAAAAGAAAAATGTGCGTGCGTGCATGCGTGTGTGTGTGTGTAGGGGGGCTTTTATGGGGCTCACTCAGTATTTTATCATGTATCACATCGATGGCCAAATAAAAGCTCGTTAACATGGTGCAGAATGTCTCTTGGAGAGTGTGTGCAGAAAAAATATCACCTTATTGAGCACCTGTGTCACGAATTAGAGTTAGCAATGAGAGGAGATTTAATGCCCTAATAACCTGAGCCAATTCCGTCAAACTTTTCTGGACGAATGGGGGAAATTTCCACAAAGCATAATTCTTTCCCTTCTTGGAAACATGCCGTGCTGCCTACACGAGATCACTGCAGTGGCGGTGGAGACACACTCTGTTAGACACGTGGACTTTATGCTTGTGTGTTAATTTGGTGACATTTGGTGTCTTTTTATTTTATGGAAATTTTTACCTCTGTGGAAATCACTGTGGAACGTGAGATTCCCCTGATGTGAGGAGGTACATGCGCATGCTTTACATTTGAATAAATGGTATAAAAAAGGATATCTTCATTTTTTTGTATTTTGAGTCATGTTGGATATGGTATCCAGTATAAAATGCAATATTTTAAATGGTTAACAGTAAGTTGTGAGGTGACACTAACAGATATTTCATGGTCACTAAGGGCCCCTTTACACTGGACGGCGTCCTTTCTGCGTCCCTTCTGCGTTCAAAAATGTGGTCAGGACGCTCAACGGTCGCCAAAGCAATTAAATCGTGTCTCAGTGTAAAGGCGTCTGCGTCCCTTGTGCGTCCTTTGAACGACCGTATCTTGATTTTATCTGTAAAACTGCCAGCAACCTGCCTGCCTCCACTGTACGTCCCCTGTGCAACCCAGGGCGTCCATTGCGATGTTTGAGCGAACATTGAGCATTCTTGCTGCGTTCTCTGTACCTTCATCGGCGATCAGTGGCGTCTATTCTACGATCATTCTGCATCCTGCTTGACCGATGAGCGTTATTTGGGCGTCCTTCTCTATATTCTAATTAATCTTTTCATCGGTTCTAACCAGGTCATCCAATGAAGAACATTTCCAGCACACAAAACAAATAGATGGGAATAAACGCTTTAAACTGATGCAAGGTCTGCATGGACTGATAATCAGCCAGATGCTCATTGTTATCCTTATAAGAAGGATGGACAGGGACCGAAAACGAGAAAGTATGACTGACACAACACAGAATGTTTGAATCCGTTTTCAAATGAAGCATTCTGCAAAAAGTTCTGACAATTAATCTTGTAAAAAAGGCAACATATTCGTTTAATAATAACCTCAAAAAAATGGATTGTTTCATGAATTTTAGGGGAAAAAACAATCGGAGGCTGATATGAGACTACTGTTACCCTTAGAATTCCTGTCTGGTGAAAAATACCCCGTTTGAGAGTGAAAAAAAATAACGTTCTACGTGTCGAACACTGGACGATCTTTGAGTTTTCATTCTGCAACCAAAGCGGTGCTTGTGCCTCCTTTCTACGACCGCGGCGATGCTTGTGCGTCCTCTCTGCGACTACGGCGATGCCTGTGCGTCCTTTCTGCGTCCATTGAGCGACCATCCTACATCGCGTTCTCTCTGCGATTGTTTTGAACATGCTCAATACTTCGCGGCGTCCATGGCGTCCTCGGCGATGCTTAAACGTTCTTTGTGCGACCTTGGCGATCACTGTGCGTTCTTTGAGCGTCCGACGGCGTCCTGGCCAGTTTCATGGTCGCACAAAGGACGCAGAAAGGACGCCGTCCAGTGTAAAGGGGGTTTAACGTAGATATTCTGCAGTATTTTTACACAACTCATTGCGCTGACATTGTCAACAAAGTATATCCTGATTTATCCGAGTGCTTTCTGGAATAAGACAATACGGAAAAAACAAACTTTTCATAAAGCCGCTCTACCTTATCACAGCATATAATAATAATAATAATAATAATAATAATAATAATAATAACACGTAAATCACAACTACGATGAGCGTGACTGAGGTTTTTCTTCACCGCTACTGCAAACGCAATAAGTAGATCGAAGTATATATATTATAATGGATGCTGTTCTAGATGTACGGCGCCTGGGCGTTAGGCTACGTGTGTCTTCATTTTAGCGTCTAACAGCGCACACGTTGTAGGGGTACGGTGTGAAAGTCGCCACGTTAAAACCTTCAATTCCATCGGGTGGATTTTCCCCCTCTGGTACCTTGAAGCTAAAATTCTGGAGCAACGTGGTGAAGAAAATGAACGATTCCATTTCAGCCAGTCCCTTGCCCAGACAAACACGGGGACCTGAAATAAAGTTCAAAGAAATTTATTGACAAAGCTGAGAATTGTTGTTAACATATGCACCATTTATCAAAAAGGTTGAAACAAACTCTCAGGGGGCTCATGTTCTAAATTTGAAAAATAAATTTATTAAAGCATGTAAATTGACAGCGATATTCTGTTTACATCATGAGATATAGTACTTGAAATAAAAAAAACAATATTTAAAACTGTTAACAGCTGTGAATTGATAACTTATAAACAAGAACACTTTAAATTGGACGTGAGACAACAGTTCCGATCAAAATTGACGTAAAACACTGTAGTCAACAGTCTGACGAATAATTCTGACGCACATGTAAATCAACGTACCTACGGAAAACGGGATCAGCTTTTCCGACCTGATCACATTACCATTGCCATTCAGCCATCTTTCTGGTTTGAATTTGTAAGGATCCTCGAAGTTATTCTTATCGTGAAGAACCCGGTACAAATCTCCCAGTATCATGGTCCCCTTGGGAATGGTGTAACCGGCTAAATTGATAGTCTCACTGGTGGCATGGGGAACTCCAAGCGGCACTGACGTAAAATAGAACACATATTTCATATTTTAACGTTATACATTTTGCATTGATCCTATACATATCTAATATCTAAAGATAAATATAGTTAATTTATTCTTTCACGCAATCTCGTAATAAGGTGGCGCCGGTTAACGTGACAAAGCCCCCCAATAATAGAGGTCCGCTTCCCATTCACTTGTGCAGGCAAGCCTCGACTTAGATTTTGATCCACTTAGGTCAGGCTAACCCTAACCGCTATAACAGAATGGAGGGCGGTCGTCCTGTTACACGGACCCTCAGTTTCGTTACACCGGTCATTGTAAATGAGGATTCCAAGTGACTTGACCATTCAGCAGTCCCCGTTGGGTTGTGTGCTCTCAAGGCAGGTCGGAACGAGTCAGGATATTGAACAGGCATGTGTAGAGAAAACCCAACATTTCTATGATCTCAGAGCGCATTCAGAACAGAGGATCAGCGAACTACATGTACGTGTAACTGATCCATCAACTAAGTATGGCTGACCGGTACCTACTATTAAATTCTGATTTTCGCCGTTATAAGACAAATTCCAGACCTTCTATCTTCTTAACGAGAGTGCATGACTTTAAAAACTAAACATTTAATGTAAAATTTGAAAATGAATTACTGACCGACCGTTGACATACGAAAGACCTCCAGTATGGTTGCTTCCGTGAACGGCATCCTGGCCTTGTCCTCCATCTTGGCAACACGACCTTGACCTATGACCTAGAAGTAAGAACATTAATCGAATCATATACATGTATACTATTAAGTGAAAAACCACGTGCGTTTAAAGGAACACTCTATATTTGTGTCTCACACTGCACATGTAGTACATGTTTCTGAATACAAATTGCTGGGAGAAGTGAAAACATGAAAGGGCACCATATTCTCTACCTCTGCCCTCACTCCATTACACTCTCTCCCTCGCGCGCGCGCACACACACACACACACACACACACACACACACACACACACACTCACGCTCTCTCTCTCTCTCTCTCACACACACACACACACATACAGACAAACACGTTATTTCTTGTGCTCATTTTATGTCGTTACCTGATCAATTTCCTGCTGCACCCTCTTCTGAACGTCGGGATGATTTACCATATGAACCAGGGACCATCTCAAAGTGTTAGCTGTTGTATCAGTTCCAGCCAAATATAGATCAACGATGATGCGAAATACGTTCCATTCTGAAATTTAAACCAAGTGAAGAAAGACAATTACTGAAAACATTTTTTTCATAAATGCACATGGACGCCTACATATACACTTTGCAATCTGAGAGAAAGCACGTGCTCTGGAGTGCGTGACAGATTGCACGCGCGAATACCGGTACACTCATATTCGTAATGAGGTGATTTGAATTTTTTATTAGTTTTCAGGGCGAACCGTTACAAAACAAGCATTTTATTGCAAAACAACGCTGTCCCTGCACACCTGTGTAAATCTCTGGGTCCTGCCCCTCTGTGGTCACCTTTATGAACAGGTCAATGAAGTCCCGGATGTCAGTTGGATCAAAAGACTGGCGGTGTCGTTCGACTTCCTGTCGGACCAAGCTATAAAACTTGTCAACGAGAGCGAATAATTTCTTCATCTGAAATACAGATTACCTATATGTTATGGGTCACAAAAGACATCCACACGTTTTCATAAAACTCTGGTTACAAAAGTATTCGACATACATGTATGTACCTTACTTGAACCGGTATATATCTCAAACTTTGTGTAAACTTGGTAAATCTGTAACCTTTATAGACAATAAAACGGGAATACCATGGGAAACGAATAGGAAATATACAAATATAGGCAGGTGAAAATAAGATTTATAAAATAACGGCAGTTCAACCAAAAATTTTACCGGTATGAAGAATCGCGCCAAATCAGTAAGGGAGAGCGCCCCTTCACCAATTCGCAATGCCTCCTCTAAAACTGGGAGCATTTCTGGGGTGTCATTAAAGTCATATCTGAAAGTCATTTGAAAGGGAAAAATATATGAAATGTTAAATTCTAACATTTATTATAAAAATGTTAAACGGTATAGTTCAGATATTTGTGCTGGGTGTTTTGGGAGATTTTATGTATACTATGGCTAACACAGACTCAATGTAAATGCGCAGATTTTTTATTTATTTATTTATTTATTTATATATTTATATATTAATTTATTTATTTATTTATTTATTTATTTTGACTACCGGTACTAGCACTGGTAGTATGCCACGAGCAAACATTCCAAATGTTTTTATAACATGCACGAAAAAAATTATGCTAAAAAAGAAAGATATTTAGTAACCTTGTTCCAAATACAACGATAGAAATAATGTTGCTGACAGCTTTTCCAATCCTGTTTCTGGGAGAGAAGGCCTTTCCATTTTCATCTTCAATGTTTTGCACCAAGTATCTTGCCTCATCCTGAATTCTCTCTTGTAAACTTTTTCTCCCGAGGCCGAGATCTCGAAGAGACGAGAGCGTGAATCTCCTCAGCTCTTTCCATTCGTGCCCGGATTTAAATATAACTCCAGCCCCTGCAGATTAAATTTAACCAAGTTGAATGCAAGCTCACTTTTAATTTGACAGCTGGTAATCTGTATTTTATTTGTAATCCAGTGAGTACTCTGAAGAAATTATCCCTTGCGGGATTCCACTCAAACATTTCACAAGACCCAGATAATGATTCAAAATATTTTATAAAGAGACCAGTATATCATTTTTCTTTGTACAATAAAGTTAACGCAAGCACAAGAGAGAGAGAGAGAGATGTCGGAGTGTCAGAGTACTACACGGTACATGTTTCACCTGTTTTGTGCCCCCCCCCTTTCAATCCTTTTAAGAGCGCATTCAACACAGCGGACTAACAGATCTGCGGATCAACTATGGCGACCCACTAAAAATCTTACCGCTTAAATCCCGATTAGACACTAAATAGATACCGCGCGAGGATATCGCGACAAGCATTAAAGTGGGTCGGCCATATTTTAACCATGGGTCTGTTAGTCCCCAATTCTGAATGCGCTCTAAGTTCCAAATTAGAGTCATAATAAAGTGGTCGGGCTTTACGGGCAAATCAAATGGTAAGAAAACATTTCAATTGTTATCTTTAAATTTGAGCCTATATACTTCTACTTACAAGATATCTTATCATAGAGGTCATGAAGTTCGCTTTATGCCCTTATACAGGTGTATTTACAAATCAAAACACAAACTGGTTGCTAAGGGCCCATTCCCACTGAAAACTATTAATTTACTAACAGACCAAAGACCTCCCCGGGAGATTATTGCAAACTGTTGGGTCGAAACCGTCCTAGTCATTCAACCGGAGAACAAGGTCAAATATTTCAGTTCCCATTGCTTCGTAGGTCGAAAACTGGGTCTGTGAATTTAAGCTGACATTTAAACGCAGCATTTGGTGAAGAACGGGATAATTGATCTGTCACCATGCAAAAATGATAATAACAACAACATACAGGGGTGAAAACATAACCTCCTTTGCGGAGGTAATAATAATCACCGTTACCATCATAATTTTGCCACAAATTAACCCATAGTATATATGAAAAAGTGAAGGGGATTGATAGGGCATGATTCTCTGGGCTACATTAAGTACTCAAGTACTTAAGTTCTCGTCTCTCCGCTGTGTACGAGTGAAATTTACAAGGGATTCTGTAGGTGAGGTAAAGGTACTCTGAGCATGCACTTCATTAACTGCCACATATTTACCGTCCTTTCCAACTACATGTTTAAGAAGATATATCCAAGTAGGTCTAGCACTGACTGTAGCTGCATTCTTCACGAAAGCCTCTTGGATCAGCTCATAAGTCCCTAGCATTATCAAATGTTGTTCACCAAGTTTGACGTGCATGATATCTCCGTATGTATCATACCATGGAAGAAGATCCGTAGGTTGTCTTCTCCTACCGCTGATCATCATCTGTGGGAGACATCCCACCACGGGGAAACAGACAGGTCCGGGCGGCCAGTTCACCCGAGGATTCCTCGACGACAGCAACCACAGACTTAACAACAGCACTACCACGAATATCAAAACAGTCGGCAGACCGACAGTAGAAACATACTCCAAGAGACTCTGTACGAGGTTAACCATGTTGGTACTTGGTTTCAAACGCAGAGTGCTTAATGCTGGCGTACAATAGCCAACATTCACAACAGCTGTGCAACAATTCGCGTGACAATAGCCAAATACCGTCCTAGCGCCCAATAGCCAAATTGCAACGCGTCCCAATTCTTACATCAGCCTGTGTGTTTAATCTACTTGTGTGCATGTGCTATCAAAACACTGTCAACAAACGTGGCGTGCCGAAGATGTCAACACAGCATGACTGTGCGTTTGTGTGTGTGGGTGGGTGGGGGGGAGGGGAGGGAAGCTGGTCTCTCCCCACACTACCCCTAAAATTAGGCAGCGTGTTCCCAATGAAGCTATCGTTCTAATCCAGCTCCGCGGTGACTCCGGAATGCAATCACAGTTAATGAATGAAAAGCCTCTTCGATAACCTAGGGAGTGATTACCCCTTGCGCTCGGTTTCCGTAAGCTTTTTCACTTCGTTTTCAGTGCGACCGATCGAGTTAGATCGATCTTCGTATTACATGTACGATACTTCATTCGGAACGCGCCCGTTTACTCAAATACGTAGGTATTTAGACTGCGGTTTTGGGTACTTCGCATGACCTTATTGACCCCCCTCCCCCGCACCCCCCCCCTCCCCCGCCAATGTCAGTCTCTTACTTATTTCAGTCCTGAGGAACGGGTGTGACCTTCTATCTAACAGAAATGGATTTCCACTAAATATTCACAGATATTTCTCTGGATAATTCATGATCCGAGTCTCTGCCGTGAAGAAAAATGCACATAATTCATCTGCAACCCTGGTAGAGGCTAGGTTTAGTCCGCATGAACCGCAGGTTTGCGTTCGACAAGTTAAATGGGAAGAGACTTTTATATCGCCTCAACTTAACCACGCTTAATTGAAACTTGTAGGACGCGGATGCATTTATATATTTGACGGTTTAAGACAACACAACACTTATTATTTCTTGAAAATGTTAGACAGCTGTGTATATCAAAATTATTATCATAATATTTATTATGCGACTATGTATATCGATGTTACAGTTACAAAACATTCCTATCATTATAAATGACATAATGAATACTAAAATCTATTTAAAATGATATTTACAGTAGTGCCGTTATATTTTATTTCTAACAATGTGGTTTATAACATGTTTAAAAGTACATAAGGTGTTTTTTAAAGTTTATGAATGTCTCAGAGTTATAAATTTGCTCACATAACATTTTTGTATTGAGCACTTCGCAGTGTAATTGTCGTCTTGTCCTGGTGAAAGTACAAAATGTAAGTGGGCTTTGTGGGTTAATAATTACGTAGATGTTTTGTAGATTTCTTACATATTAAATTGCTCTGACATTGTAAATATGTAACAATTTCATCCGGGATCTTTTTGAAATAAGACCTCTTCTCGTGTAAAACATCCTTTTTAAAACTGCCCTAAATATAGCGGACAAGCAAAAGCAACTACCTCAGTCAAGGCTCCGTGACTCGAAAGCATCGCGAAATGCGATCAAGCGCCAGCATCTGTATTCCATAACTCGGGATTTACTAGCCCCATATAAAAGCCTCGAGACAAAAGGTGATATCGCTATTCGCAATTCGTGATGCTTTCCAGTTTCGGAGCCCGGGTGTAATCTGCTAGGAAAAATTACAAAAGACGAAAAAGATAATAATACCCTAAGAACAACTACAATAAGCGACTGAACAGAAACATGACAGAGTTATATCTTTTCCTTTACTAAAAAAAATATGTATTGACAAAAAGAAGTAACATGAAGTATTAAAATTGTCTGGCGCTGTCCTATATTGTGCACGCACGTCGCTTTGTCCTTTGGGCCCGTGTGTCTTCATTTTAGCGTCTAACAGCGCACACGTTGTAGTCGTATGGTGAAAAGGTGGCTGCGTTGAAACCTTTTACTCCATCCGGAGGTTTCTCGCCCTCTGGTACCTTGAACGTAAAATTCTGAAGCAACGTGGTGAAGAAAATGAACGATTCCATTTCGGCCAGCCCCTTGCCCAGGCAAAGACGAGGTCCTGATATGAAACAGACAATAATGGGATAAGTAGAAATTATAAATAAATGAAATAAGAAAGATCATGAAAAGGAAATTAGTACACTTGATGCTGAGAAGCATGTGGAGTGTGAGAACTGAACTTAAATTTAATATACACTTTTGATCAAGATGTTGTTTCACCTCCAATTCTACTATATTTGTTTACTGAAGGTACCGACGGATAGCTTTAAGGGTCCATTCCCAGACCCTATGGTACAGAGCCGCCGGAAAGTCCCCTTATTTACTCTGCGGGTCGCTGCGTGTTGTTCATGCGGTAACCATGGGAATAACATTGTCATCCATGCGCTGTTTGGTTTCTGTTAACAATAGTACCATGCCCTGCCCCGTCGGGTAATAATAGTGTCTTACTTTCTGCTAGCAAAAGAGCCTAATCCTAGCTCGCTGAGATAAAGATCGAAGCTGAGCGTGGTCGCAATAAAAGGTTCGTCCCAGCGTTAATTGACCTTTAATGCGCGTTGTCTAAAATTAATGTTAACATTGCGATGACGCTCTTCAATTTCACCTAATTATCAATCAACTGACACGTGTCAACAAGATTGTTTGTGTATCTGAACTTCCTTAATGGGCAGTAAGTATTTTGTAAAAATGACGTGTTTAAATCACTGATTTCTAATCTTTGCCATCGTGTGACCTGCCAAATGGACGGTATAAATCGACACTCAAATTTTCCAAATCGTCACAATTCCAAGATGCCTCTTAGCAATTATGTACGTTTGCGTAACATAGGCCGCCCAAATGGACAATGAAGACCATAAAGTGTCACGACAGGCAATTTACTAAGAGTTAAAGAAATACAACGAAGGGCTCTCTTTGCATCACCTATAATAGAAGCCTAAGTGAGGCAAGTAAAAAGGAGCAGAGCGTTTTCGTTTAAACGACATACGTGTTGGCCCGCAAAGCGAAAGAAAACCAATTAAATAGAATAAATATTTACACACTTAATGGTAACGTATGTATTGGTAACGTATGTATCATTTAAACGTAACAAAGAAGAATAAGCGACGCAAAAACGAGCGTATGCACATATACAATGTCGCACGCAACCACAGAGTCACGACAACAGAAAACAAACAATGAAATTATTGTTTTCTGATTTCATTGTTTGTTCTCTGTCTTTCCTTTTGTGCGCAAGTACTTATGTCTTAATGCTACATTATAATGAAAGAAAACGAGACAAATAAAATTTCTTGCCTTCAACTATCTGTGAAAATTGTCCTTTTGATTCTTACGTTACCGATATTTACGTGACCAAATAAAATGAAGGTGTGCTTTTCTGATTCCATTGATTGTATTTTGTTGTCAAAACTTTGTGAGTGGGTGTGACTTTGTATATGTTCGCACTACGTTTTACGGCCTTCATTCTTATTTGTTACGTAATATGATACATTTGCGTTACCAAATAACATGAAGGTATTGTTTTCTGATTTCCTTGTTTGTTTTCTGTCGTCGTGACTCTGTGGTTGCTTGCGACGTTGTATATGTGCGCCCGCTTGTTTTTACGTCGCTTATTCTTCTTTGTTACGTTAAAATGATACATACGTTACCGATACATACGTTACCATGAAACATGTAAATATTTATTCTATTTTCATTGGTTTTCTTTCGCTTTGTGGGCTAACACTTATGCCTTTTATTTGTGTTTCATTAAAATAGTGCTGGCGCACTAAAGGAAAGACAACCAATGAAAATAGAACAAATATATTCACACGCTTTATGGTAACGTATGTATCATTTTAACGTAACAAAGAAGAATGAGCGACGTAATAACATGCGTGCGCACATATACCACGTCGCACGCAACCACAGAGTCGCGACAACAGAGAACAAACAGAGAACAATCAGAAAACAATAATTTCACATTATTTGGTAACGTATGTATCGGTGACGTACGTTTCGTATAAACAATTCCAACAAACGGTTTCGAGACAATTAATCTTTACTTGCCCTGCTTTTCCTTCTTATTGTAATGTAGTATACCGCAGGAATAAGGCGTTTGCTCACAAAACGGACAAGTGGACAACAAACAATAAAAAATAAAAGTATTTACACGCCACATGGTAACTATTTTCATTGGTTGTCTTTCGTTTTGTGCGCCAACACTAATGTCTTAATGTTACATTAAAATGAAAGAAAACGAGACAAATAAGATTTCGTGCCTTCAACTACTGTGAAAATTGTTCATATGATACATACGTTACCGATATATACATGGCCAAATAATATGAAGGTGTTGTTTTCTGATTCCATTGATTGTTTTCTGTTGTCACGGCTTTGTTAGTGCGTGCGACTTTGTATATGTGCGCACGTTTGTACGTAGTTCATTCTGTTTGTTACATTCATATGACACATACGTTATACATATACATATGTATATATCGGTAACGTAAAAATCTATCAGTCGCCCTGGTAGAGGGTACCGATTCCCTACCCTGTACATGTATTTATCATGCGGCCATTATTAAATTAAAATGTGAGAGAGAGAGAGAGAGAGAGAGAGAGAGAGAGAGAAGGGGCAGGGTTGGGAGACCATGGAGCCTTTTGGTACGGGGACTTTCCGGCGGGACAGTACTGTGGATCGATCCATCTCCGAGGGAATTCTTGCTAAATTGCAATCAACTTAAGCGGTTAAGATGTCTGCCACGCCTACTGAAGATGCTAAGGGGTAATTAAATATCTTTTAGCTGCTTCAATAGGCGTGACAGACTTCTAAGTAGTTAAAGCTGAAAGCTATTTAAGCCTAGGTCCCAACCGAACGTACGGGCTGCTACGTGTGGTCTACGGCCAAACAAATGGGGAAAACGTGGGAGTTCGTGCGTGAGGAGCACGTTCATCGTGCGACTTTTGGGAGGACGCAAACAGCACGTACAAACTTGTTTGATCAACAGCCGCGACGTGCGATTTAGCTACGTCCTTGCCGAACGCAAGGAACCTTAAAACCGTACGCCCAAAACGTAGTTGGGACCTACGATTTAGCGAGACATACATCGGAGATGGATCGATCCTGTAAGATCAATCTAGGTATGGAAACCCAGTCTTACATAAAACAACCTACCCATAGAAAACGGTATCAGTTTGTCGGACTTGATCACTTTACCGTCGCCATCCAGCCATCTTTCTGGTTTAAACTTGTAAGGCTCCTCGAAGCTGTTCTTATCGTGAAGTACCCGGTACAAATCTCCCAGTATTACCGTTCCCTTGGGAATGGTGTATCCTCCCAATTTTGTAGTTTCACTGGTGGCATGTGGAACTCCCAGGGTAGCTTACGAATGGAATAAAAAAATGTTTCGTCTTTTTAAGGTTCATTATGCGTATTGTATCTTTACATAAAAGAAAAACCCCTGAGAATCTCTCCCAATGCCTCCTATGTCAATAGTATACCCTATTCTAAACCGTTACGAAAATTACTATCTGTAAACTGGGTCTCTGCAGAGAAAATGTGAACATCTAAATTTAAAATATGAAATAAATGCAAATAAAGTACTAACCGACAGTTGACATACGAAAGATTTCCAAGATAGCTGCTTCTGTGAACGGCATCCTGGCCTTGTCTTCCATCTTGGCAACACGACTTTGACCTACGACCTTAAATAGAGAAAAACTTAATTTATCAAACTATTTATCAATAAGTGTAAATAAAGCACATTTATCATACCATGAATATCATTTTTGATAACATTCTCAAGATTTCAGTTTTAATAGTTTAAACACACTACCAGTACTAACAGTATATATATTTATGTGTATTTGAAATACAGGCGCGCAGGTGTGGGTATTGCAAACGTTAAGCACACAAACCGTTCGCTGTGCCCCCCTCCACCCCTCCCCATCTTACTATTCTCTCTCTCTCTCTCTCTCTCTCTCTCTCGTTACCTGATCAATTTCCTGTTGCACCCTCTTCTGAACATCTGGATGATTCACCATGTGGATGAGGGACCATCTCAAAGTGTTAGACGTTGTGTCGGTCCCGGCCAAATAAAGATCAATAATGATTCGGAATACGTTCCATTCTGAAATTTACATCAATTTAAAACTAGGCAATTGAAAACAATCTCTTTGTATCTCTTTTAGGAGAAAAGAACATTACTTCTATTCACTTAACATTGACTGAGTAAAAGCAAATTCTCTGGCGTGCGTGTATGATTGTGTGTAGTCGAATACACGTCGTAGCTAACAAGTCTTAGGAGACTTGGGAACCATCGATTAGTACATATGGGTATAAGTTGTAAAACAACCGTTGTATTGTAAAAACGTCTCGGGCACACCTGTGTAGATCTCGGGGTCTTGTCCCTCTTGGGTGACCTTTATGAAGAGGTCAATAAAGTCCCGGATGTCAGTTGGATCAAAAGACTGGCGGTGTCGTTCGACTTCTTGTCGTACCAGAGAATAAAACTTGTCAATGAGAGCAAATATCTTCTTCAGCTGAAATACAGAGCAAGTACACTTAGGAAGTTAATAAGTAAAATAAACTGATAAACCAACAGCCTTTAAAGGCAATATGTAACATTAAAAACGATTAAGATATAAACAAATATATACAGGTGAAATAAGACATTTTGTGGAATGGTATTAATCGAAGCAAAATGTTTACCGGTAGAAAGAACCGTGCCAAGTCGGTAAGGGTGAGTGCCCCTTCCCCAATTTGCATTAGTTCTTCCAAAACTGGAAGCATTTCTGGGGTGTCATTGTAATCATATCTAAAATCATTTGAAAAGAAGAAAAAACATCTTTAATAATATTTTAAATTTAAAAAATACAATGCAAAATGGTTCAGTGGTTTATATATTCATGCATTGTATTTTGAAAGGAATCGGTGTGTGGTGGCTAACAGCGGCTAAATGTAGATTCATTGAATTTGTTGAGTATTTAAAAATACCATATGCAACTGTTAGATAATTTCTCCTTATCTTTAAAAAACTACTTTCATTTAAATATCCCCCTGGTCGCTTACATTCCCCTGATAATTCGATTTTACAATAAAAAACTGGCTGACTAAAATTCTAAGGTTTTCAAGTTCTTTTGTATATAAAACGATTTATATACCTTAAATATGCCCTTTAATTTAATGTCTTAAATGTGGTTTTATGCCTTGACTTAAAAATGTAAAAATGTAATTTTAAACACTGCATAATCTACAGAACTTGTGAGGATTTACAACTTTAAACAAATAAGAAATATTATGACACTTAAAATAAATATTATAATACTGGTAGCATCAATTATTTTATAACATGTACAAAAATGTAGTGGTGAAAGTGCTCTTTGATTACCTTGTTCCAAATACAACGATAGAAATAATGTTGCTGACAGCTTTTGAGATCTTGAACCTTGGAGAGAAAGGCTTTCCATTTTCATCTTCAATGTTTTGCACCAAGAATCTTGCCTCATCCTGAATTCTCTCTTGTAGACTTTTTCTCCCGAGGCCGAGATCTCGGAGAGACGAGAGCGTGAATCTCCTCAGCTCTTTCCATGCGTGCCCGGATTTTAATAGAACTCCAGCCCCTGCAATTTACATTTCCTCAAGTTGAGTATATGCTCGCTAGAAAGATCGAAATGCACATGTATAACCTCTATATATACATTTTTTAATTCTGTTTTACACTGAATAATGTCATCGTTACTTAAGAGCTGCATATTATGAAACCAGGCTTTTTTTATAAACAGGAAAATAAAATTTCCATCTGATAACTAGTATTACACCATTACTTTATGCTCACCATGTCTTCCTTTTTTGTTGTTCGTTTCTTTATTCATTCTTTATTGTTATTATTATTATTATTGTTGTTGGTGGTGGTGATGATGTTGATGTTGAAATTATGTTTTGGGTGAAGACATTCTTTCACAACTGTACTTTATGGCTTTTCATAAATTAAAAAATTAGACAACACACTTGCGACATCTGCCGTTCTTATGAGTAGTTCAAAGACAGAATTCGGTATTTCTTTTAAACAACTAGTAATTTACTACTGGTTTCTCCTTCCTATCTACACCTAGCTCTGAACCAGACCACCATAATGAAGTCCTCGGGTTCTGGGGCTATACGATAACACAGATAATAAGAAAACGTGTCAGATGTAGGGGGGCAGAATTATTTGAAGGGGGTCTGGTTTTCAGTAATGACAGGCCGCGGACGCTAAGCCGACCCCCCCCCCCCCCCCCTCC